TGCCAAGTCGCTGCAAGAAGACCAAAGGAATTGAAGGTCATCGTATCTATCGCATCAACCGACGATCGATTCAATGACGATATCCACTTCATGAGCAGTTGTGTACTGACGGAGAACTTCACATGGGCAGCTTCAATGTTCGCTATCAACTCCTGTCCGCCCGATCCAGCAGTTGTTGGCGATCAGTGGCGAGACCTCTGGCTCCAGCGGCTTGAGTCTGGTGGCTTCTTTGCGAAGGAGTGGCATGAGAACCAAAGGCGTAACGACTTCTGGAAACATGGTTCCGTCTGCGAAGATTACAGCTCTATCGAGGCTGCGACTTACTTGGTGAGCGGATGGCAAGATCCGTATACCAATACAGTTTTCAGGATGCTGGAGAACCTCAAATGTCCCAAGAAGGGGCTTGTCGGCCCTTGGGGTCACAAGTATCCAAATTTCGCGAAACCCGGTCCACAGATAGGCTTTTTGCAAGAGACAGTTCGTTGGTGGGATAAATGGCTGAAGGGTATCGACGAAACGAACATCATGGATGAGCCTGAGCTTCGCTGCTACCTCCAAGATCCAGTACTACCAGCTGCTTACGACAAGTTCCGACCCGGCCACTGGGTTGCGGAAAAGAAGTGGGACGACGAAAAGGCACTTACGCGTCGCATGGGTCTTGCTCCAGGACGCTTGACCGAGGAAACATCTTCAAGCTCCGAGAAGATCGAAATCTGCTCGCCACAGACTCTGGGCTTTGCAGGGGGGAGATGGCTGACATTTGGCGTTGAAGGCGAGGGTCCATCTGATCAGCGCCTGGAAGCAGGCGGCAGTCTCGTCTTCGACACCAGACCACTGACAGAATCCATCGATTTGCTCGGTGCTGCTGTTTTGAACGTTCGCATCGCAAGCGACAAGCCTTATGCCTTATTGGCTGCGACGCTGTCAGAAATATTACCAAACGGTGCAGCGACCCGCGTTTCCTATGGCCTGCTCAACCTTACCCATCGTCATAGTCATGAGGATCTCGAAGCGCTTGAGCCCGGCAAGTTCTACGACGTGAAGCTGAAGCTCAACCACTTTGGGCAACGCCTTGGAGTAGGCAGTAAACTTCGTCTTGCTCTATCCTCCACGTACTTCCCCATCGTCTGGCCATCTCCCGAAGTGACAATACTCACAATCGATACTGGGTCGAGCTCCATCGACCTGCCAGTAAGGACCGATGACTCTCAGGACTCTAAGCTCCGACCTTTCCGGCCGGCGATCAATGGCACTCTCAAGAAGACGCAACTGCGCCCTGCAAGTCACAAGAATTACGTCAAGCAAGATTGGGATACTGGACGCACAGAGCTCGTAGTTGATTGGGATGACGGGAAGTGGGAGATCGACGAGACTGGATGGCGCTTCGGGTGGACCACACCTATGGTAATGGGTTGTCATCCTGCCGACCCGCTGTCTGCGGAGGTGTACCAGGGTTTCGAAAGGGAGTTTGAACGCGGTGATATCAAAGTCCGCTTTGCAGGTTGGACGAAAATGGAGGCGACAAGAACCGACTGGATCATGACTGCGCGGATAGACGCATGGGAAGGAGAGAAAGCGGTGTTCGGGCGAGACTATGAATTCAAGGTTCCACGCGATCATGCGTAGGCGACGTTTGATGCAGTCATGTTGGAGGGTGAATAGGCTGTGGCCATCATAGTCTGCATACCTGTAGACTTCATCGCTAACATGTTTTTCGAAGGCGTTGACACTCCCTAATTCATGCTTGTAAACGCAGGTGCGACTCTATAGAGCTGTAACTGGCTACGATTGTGGGTGCGAAATACGTGCAAAGAGGAGGGAGGACTTGCCTGCCCGACCCCTAGTCTTCGGCGTTGCGGCTCTGTCGTCATCGCATGTACACCACAACCGGATCGCCATCCACGATCTTCAGATGATGACGCATTGTCTTAATAGCTAGAATGTCGCTGCACATGATTCTGCTCGCAAAGTATCGAATTCTTGGAATTACGTGACATCTTTCCCTGGTTTTGCTGCAAAATGGATATATCATTAGACGGTTTTCCTCTCGCAACGAATAAACGCCTCATTATCGTCATTGTAAGCTTTGCATTTCTGCAACTAGAAACTTTGGGAAATGGATCGGGTGCAGCAGTAAGCAGCCCATCTGATATCCTGAGGCTATACACATATTCGGGCTGTAAGTTTCGAAACTTCGTGCTACTGTATATAGCTTCAGGTCGCAATATTTGCTCACACATCTCCCTGACATATCACAGGTCGGTGCATCTCTAGGCGGCCTTGCAACCGCCCTCTCCCTAAAACGCCTCCCCCCTCCCCACAACCACACCATAACCCTTCTCGAGCGCAGCCCAACACCCCTCCTCCATAACCAAGGCGCAGGAATAGTAACCGGAGGCGACACACTGTCCTTCTTCAAGCGCTACGACAAGTGTGGGCGCGACATCGCCGCCCGTTCAGCCAGCCGGCAGTACCTGAACAAAGATGGCAAAATCGTACATGAAGAAGCCATGCGCCAGAATATGACCAGCTGGAATCTATTCTATCATATTTTTCGAGCAAACGTCGATGGCGTGAAGAGCGAGTACTGCTCCGTCCCGGAGGAAGACAAGGATGAGAAGAGAGCCAAGCATCTCCACGGCCACAAAGTCACCGGCCTTCACGAAAGAGGCGAGAAATAATCATCGCACAATTCGAAATTGGCAACAGCGAGAAAGGCGAAACTGAAGCAGAGTCTCCTCATCGCCGCCGACGGCCCCAGCTCCACCATCCGCTCTCTCCTCGCCCCCAATAACCAGCGCACGTATGCAGGCTACGTCGCGCTGCGCGGCACCCTCATCGAATCGGAAGCCAACCCTCAAACGCTCGCAACTTTCAGCGAGCGCTTCACTTTCTTCCACGGCCCGGGGGTGCAGATACTCGCATACCTCATTCTAGGACTAAACGGAACGCTAGAGCCTAGTCAACGACTGATCAATTTCGTGTACTAACTCATCTGCCGTCTGTATCACTGGATGATCCTTCGCCCCCGTTTCGCGAATTAATGACTGATAAGGGGAGAGGACCGCAGATCCCGGTCGGTTTATAATCACCAAATGAAATCGAGCTTCGTGATAATAATAAGATACCAGAAGTTTAAGCCACACGGCCTCACTCTTGTCTATAGATAGCATCAGTAGGTTGATTGCGTCTGAATTGTACCATCTTTCAAGCGCTATTGATAGCTCCCAACGTGTTCTGAGCTGGTCTCGGTGTAGCTCGTCATCTGCGCCTAAGCAAAGCTGGAGTATCTTCGAGCAGAGCCTAGAGTATTGAGACCGGATCTCCAACCACTGGGAGGAGGAAGCAGCAAACACCTCCGTCTGCAGAGAGTGCTTGGATGGGTGTGCTGTCGGGAGGAAACCATCACTAACAAGCTAGTATCCTTGAGTTAGTCCTGGCAATAACAACCTATGACTTCTTTATGTTGAAACCTACAGGGAAGGCTTGCCATCTCAAGGCGTAAGACTTGTCGATACAGTACAGTGTCCACATAGCCCGTTCAACGCTGGCAGCTTGCTCATTATTGATGCAGAAACTGCGTAGGATAGGCTCTAGATGGAGTCCAAGTGAGGTTGCAGTTGACACGCTGCCAGTTATAAGAGCGATTAAGTCGTCTGATCCTGTTTTCTCAGCGAGCAGGAGCTGTGTATATCAGCTAACTAGTCTCATATGATTGAACTGTTACGAACCATGGTAACAAGAGCCTGATGATTTAGATCAGCGGAACTTTGTCGTTGACCATACTACTTACTAGAAATTGACGAATGCTGCTCTTCTGCTGAAGGAGCAGCCTTGAAGTTGCTAGCACAGTATCCAGTAGTGCTACTTTGAGAGTTGAGCTCAAATCTGAGTCTAGTAAAGCTCCCCAAGCCAGGGAGACAACTAGCAAAGAAAAGTCGCTAACTTCTACAGGCAGCTTCTCTGGGCCGAGAAGTCGGTTGTACGTTTCCATGACATCGCGTTCTTTGATGAGAAGACTCGGTCTAAACTTTAGATAAGCTTATGTAGTGCGTTAAGAATTCGTTGAACTAACCCCCAAAGTTCCTCAAATGACCCTTGTAATGCGTTAGCAAGCTGTTTGTACTACTGTAGATCGCCGAGAACCTACTCTGAACGAGCTTTTGCACAGGGAGTTTATCCAGATCTAAGCTCTGATGTTCCACATTGGAGCCAATCTTACGAAAGAGCTCAGAAAGGCAAATCTGATGCTCTGGGGAAAGCAGAACTTTGACCTTATCTAATACCGCTTGTTTTCTATGACTTCCTCGGTCCGCGCTCTTCTGAAAAGGGCGGCGACTCTGTACGTCTTGTATTTCAGCAAAGAAGTAGTCTCTGCAGCATTAGAGATGCATACTATCCAGTGGAATACAATGTGTCGTTTACCTCTTCTTCGTCGGCTACAATCCGGTCCGAAAGTAGCGTTAGAGCACAGTTGGTGGCGATATTGCCTACTTCGGTTTCTAAGACGCCATGTTGCTGAACCATATTATATTGAGGCAGGTGCTGACTGAACTCGACATCCAGCCAGTCCCCTATAGGCGTGTCGCTCATGTGAATGACGCATGGTCTCCGATCCAAAATGTCGTATGTGTGGATTCCTGGCTCTGCTATCCGGTCAGCACTTCAATCTGTAGAACAAGAATAATCGGTAAAGTGCGCTGGTACCTACCTGTATCTTTAGCCTGGTGAGTGTCCAGTATAGATTCCTTAGCAAAATCGAAGTCCAGGTAAGACTGCGCGCTATCGGGGGACAAATTGTGAAAAACATCCTTCACTGAATGGCGTATTAAGATGATTGGCGGAATCTGGAAGAAACTGACCCAAGGACAACCTCGGAGGACTGTTTCAAATTCTGACAAGGCAACTATTGTGTCAGAACTTTCCCTTTGTAGCTGTATAGTTGCAGAGACATCGTTGTCTAAGTTCCGAGGACTCTTCTCGGATAGACGGCGTCGTGGACGACGCTCGGTGTATTCACATGGACATTGGGACCGCTATTGTATTGTGAGCAGCAAGATTCAAGATTGAATAGGGGTTCTATATTTACCTGACAGTGGTCACATGGATTTGCTCCATCACCTGTATTCTTCAGCGTACATCTGGACTATTGTTTAGGAAGCACACTAACATCGAACCTTCTTCAAACGGCATTCTTCACATGCACCTCTTCGTCGAGTTATTTTTGGGCGCAGGTTATTCATTTGACAAGAAAGCGTACATTTGAAAATGTAAATGAGGAGAAAGGCGGGTTCTGGATCGAACACAAGCAAAAGAGGCTGTTCGCATCAAGTATAAAGTTCCAAAACGCTATAGCACGCATCCTGGTTGTGCGCGAATCACCACCGCTTTGCCTTCAACAATGCATCTGGCCAGATTGGCGACGGGAAGTCTCGTCGGTACGTACTGACACTGGATAGAACCGATGCGATACGCAAGACACCGCACTTTATTCTGATGGACCGCCGTTTTTCCTCGATCGAAAGACTAGCAACGGCCCTTCACAACAATCGATATATCTATACGCTACTCAACCTTGTAACATCACCAGGTACATGCCCTTTCGCTGAGCAAAGTGCTGGAGTGATTTGCGTGTAAGAGCCAATGCTGAGGTTTTTGTCGACTCTGATATTCAGGAAATCCCTCCCGGCTTGGCTCTTCTTCTGCTGGGAAGAAAGCTTTGGAGGGGTGAAATGTCCTCCACACTTGCAGATATGGGATCCGGTCCAATGGAACAAAGGAGAGACTCACGGGCTTATGCGGCGAACGCGGCGTGGACATAGGCAAACGTCAAAACCTTCTGAGAATATCGCACGATACATCAAAGAGCAAGCTTTGCAATTCCCGAGGATACCGTATAATTGTGCCTTAAATAGCCGTACGCTAGCAGGAGGTAGCATCGCTTATGTAATATTAGATAAAGTTAAGGTAAGTCATCAATAAGCAAACTAAAGAGAGTTAAAGTGAACAGCATAGTCATAAGCTTGTTTAGAAATATCTACTGATTGCTTATATCAGCTAGTCTCTGCTAGCGTATAGCTATTTAGGCAGAATCATACGGTATGGTACAATACATTGAAGACGAGAGGCTGACGTCGGCCCGCAGAGAAAGGCTCTTCGGGCTCGGCAGCGAAAAACAACGTGTTACAGATTACACCTCTCGTCTCTTGAACTATTCGGGCTAGATGACGCGTGTTCATAACATCGGATTGTATATATACCGTATCTACCTTACATATCGGTACAACAAAACACAGCAGGGGTACGTGAGATGACAGAGAGTACCGTAAAACCCAGCGATAAGGAACTGTCTTGGCAATTTTCCACTATAACGTTATAATTTTGGCCCGAGGAGATGCAGGAGACCGGTGTTGCATAAAGCTTCCTATAGCTCTACGTGTGATGCGTGTTCATAACACGGATATGCATCTTTCTGCGCCTTTTTGCAGTAAAATAGATAGTCGAAAGCACTTTGTTCTCAAGCCTGATTAGCTTTTCTTGTGTTGAGACGTCACTGTCTGTCGGCTTGCACCAGTCGCCGACAAAATTAGTGTCCGCCTTTTCCTACCGCAAAGAATTGAAGCGGTAGCCTGTAAGTTTTCAAAGAACTCCATATAGTTAGGTAGAGCATCTTACATCTGCGTATACATTTAGGCTTCCATTTTGCTAGCAAATGCGCCGCCGGGTTTAAGCAAACATGTCGTCATAAGCAGCCTTTTTGGGCGTTGGTTAAACCCAAGTTTTACTGTAACTCTATTTCACTGTGAGGTGGTCTTCGCGAAGCTAATTCCATTGATTTCTGTTCGGACCGCCCTTGCAAAGTTCCGCGGTATGCACGTAGTAGATGCGGTGCCCCGACATGAGCTCTCTTACATTGCAGAAAAAGCGAGATTTAGCAGCTTCAGAAATGCCATATGCAGAATTATAAATCTCGCCTTCGTATAGACAGCTCTACTTGTATCTAGCTCTGGGGAAAGTTAAAACATTTCCTAGAGGCATGCGCAGCTTTTTTGACTAGTTGTCCTCTTTTTGTATTTATTAAGACTGTTGAAGCAAACAGTCTGGCTGCATCAGCTATTTCTCGCTTTTGAGAGCGACTCATGCACGAGACAAACACTAACGATCCATTCAGACGCATCGAAGACGGGACAGCACACAGTGGAAAAGATGAAGTTGAGCCCGAGTGGTGCGTGTTTCTACAACTTACTCTCTCCCTCCCCCGGGTTCCTCCCCCTCCACCCCGCCAACGTCGCGCCTCCATCAATCTCAATGGCGTTGCCCGTCATATGCGCCGCTCCCGCCGCTCGCAAGGAACAAGCACAGCCCGCCGAAATCACTCGGCTTGCCGACACGGCCTGTAGGCTGTCCAGATTCGAGTGCGTCCTTGTACTTTTCCAGCCCGAAGTTGGTCATTCGTGAGGGAAACACGCCGGGGCAGATGGCATTAACCATGATATGTTTCGGCGCAAGTTTGGACGCAGTCATCTTTGTGAGGTGGATGCAAGCGGCTTTTGCTGGGCCATCTGTACAATCGTTTTTCTTAGCTTTATATCCTTCTCCGCGAAAAAAATAAAATGAAAATTGAAGACACTTACAAGAGAACGTCCCTGTCCCCGGCGCACTCAGCCCCCCTCCCTCCCCCGTCGTAACGTCCATTGTCTGAATCCCCGCCATACTCGCGATATTCACCACTCTGCTCGGCGTATCCTTCGTCGCCCCCTTGAGCAACAATCCCTCGCACCCCACCGTCATATAAAACACACTCTTAACATTTAGCGCATACAGCTTATCCCACGCATGTTCCGGATAGTTGTAATAATCGTCCCCCCAGCTGGCCCCCGTGTTATTCACCAGCACAGTCAAGCGATCCGTGCGTTTGGCCAGTTCGGCGCAGAGCGCCAGACACCCGGCTTTGTCCTTGAGGTCCGCGACGATGTATTCGCAGGTGCCGGGGCCGAGCGCATTGAGCCGCGCGGTGGTGCTTTTGAGCTCGGATTCTTTACGCGAGGCGATGAAGACGCGGGACCCGTTTTGAACAAAGGCTTGCGCGGCCATTTCGCCTAGCCCCGTGGCGCCGCCGGTTACGAGGACGACGTGGTTGGAGAAGTTGAAGAGGGTTGAGACGCGCAGGTCGTCTTTGGAGGCGGCGTGCGTCATAGTGGGTGGTTCGATAGAGGGGGGGGGGGGGGGGGGGGGGGGGTTTAAAAAAA